GCTTACATATAGGAGGTCAGACTAGTTAGAGATCACTGGATACTCTGACTCAGATTTTGCTGGATGCCAAGACCATAAAAGATCCACTTCACGCTATATCTACATGTTGGCTGGTGGTGCAGTTTCTTGGCGAAGTGCTAAGAAAACTTTTACGACTTCATCCACCATGGCAGCAGAGTTTATAGCATGTTATTTTTAAGTGTAAATTTTGACTTAAATTTAACCATCTTTCTTGGCATTTTTTCAACTTATTTCTCATATTTTAATGAATTTATTTCTCATTCTTGAGTGGTTCTTCAATTATAATACCTTTGAATTATTTGATATGTGTGTTATTGTGTAGGATATAGGCATAAAACATCACTGACTAAGACACAAAGGAGTGCATAAGGAAGCCAAAGAAATGAAGAAGAATCAGCATGTTCGCTGTGCGACCACCAATGAGCAGCCAGCGAATGTTCGCTATTCGTAGTTGCAACGAGGTCTCAGCGAAGAGGAAAGCTTGGATGGTAGTAGGAAAAAGATACTAAGTTCACTGTGCAAATCTGCAGCGAAGAATTGTTCGCACTGCGAACTCAGATATTTCCCAAGGGTAGTTTAACTATTCAGATGCCCTTCATGTGCCTAAAAAGGGTTTTCACTGTACGAAGAAGGTGTTCGCTAGACGAACAAGACAGACTTTTATTTGACTATATATGTACTTTTCTTAATTTTTTAGAAACATAACCTTTATAATACATATTTTAAGGATCAAAACTTTATCTCTCTTCATTCCAAGCATATTCTAGAGAGAGAAACACAAACCCTAAGAGGGAGAATCAGATATCAAAGTAACTCGAAGCTTGATCTTCTAGTAAGTGCTTCGATCTCTTGTTGGGTTTGGATATAGTTTATTGATACCTTATGTATTTCATCTAATGTATGTATTGTGAACTAGTTTTGATTCAATATTTATGTTGTCTTTGATTTCTAAGTTGTGGGTCTTGACAAAACCTTTTCAAATCTTAGATCTTAGATATTCATCTATCAATGAGCAAACTTTTGACATAGTCTTGTAAGTTGACATTCACATGTATCTTTGATTCTATTGTGTTGACTATTAGCATGAGTAACATGAGTAGCGATCAATACAGTATTGTGCGGATGCATGATAATAGAGATGAAGAATTATGTTCACTTGCATTTGGCAAATTAGGTTATTGAATGTAAAACGGGTTAATCGTATGTACTTATTTTAACCATGGCGTTTTATATGAATCAATCATGGATCTGATATGGGTGTCATCCTTGTTTATCTTTGATTTGAAGTGTTATAAAAATATACTCTTCAGATTTGGATCTTGGATGAACATCTGTTAGGTTTTAGACTCTAGACATAAATTTAGGCTTGCTCTCTCGATGTTGTGTTAGACATAACATCTGTTGTGGGTAATACGTGAGGATATTAGATGAATGATTGATTTGTGTTTAACTGGTTGGAAGAATGCACGTGTTATTAATTGATGAGATCCAATCCCAATAAGGCTCCGTTTATTTTAAAGTATTTACTATATATTTTCTGCCTTTATTTATGGTACCTTGAATCTTTCAACCATATTGATATCAAGGTCAAGTTAAAACATATTGATATCAAGGTCCTAGTTGTTAAGGAAAAGGTACAAAGTGGATAGATTTCCATAGAACACTCGGGGACAAACTCCATAAAAGCAGATCCTCTTACAAAAGGTCTTCCATCCAAGGTCTTTCATGAGCACACTGCTCGCATGGATGTTTTACCGTTAGAGGAGTCTTTGGTTTAGTGAGAGTTAGTCGATTATGACTTTTATGTTCTGTGTTTGGTATTCTGTATGCATATACTATAATTTTGGATATTTTCCAATTAATAAAGTTTGATATTCAATAATTTACATTTTGTACAATAAAGTTGTTGAATGATCTCACTAAAGTAAAGTAGGATCAGTTGAAAATAGACATATAAAGACCAACTTCGTGTGATTTTCATGTTGCATATTTCATGATGGATCTATGTCATTTAGATGTGTCACTATTGGTGATCATTGATGGGTCTAGTTATGATTGATATAACGAAAATCACCTTGGTTCTGTATATTGGCATCACTAATGGACGAGATACCTTGGACATGCTTAAAGAATATAATGGAAAACTTTGAGCTTATAAAGTCTAACTCATGTGTAAAGTTACATATGTGATCAGTGGAAGATTGTTAGAATTTTTTGATCACAAATGTAATATTGCATGTGTTAGGACCGTTATTTAATTAGTCAAAACTACAGTGCTCGAATTAATATTAAATATGTGGCTAAAAGCATAAATGCCATGAAATATGATATTATTGTGTAGATACCATAAGTCAATATCTAATTTGAAGAGGAGTCAAATTAGAATATTGAAAACTAAGAAATAAGCCTAAGGTTATTAATAGGGGTTATGGTCTCCATTTGTAGACAACATGAAACGACTCATCAAAATAATTCTCTCTTCATCCCCATCAGAGGAGATTTAAGGAGCCATAAGAAAATTCTATAAATTGGAAGATCAAATACCCGCAAACCTTCTATGATTCCCAATGGCAAATTTAAGTACGCTTCTGTTTTTATTCTCTGATTGAATTTTGATATGGATTTAAGAGATACAAGTTAATGTTATATTGACTCAAATGGGTTATTTTAGAGTTTTGTTCTTGATTTTTATATCGATAGAAATAATAAGGTTATGAACAGATCTAACAAGTATGTCTAATATCCCCGGTTTCTACACCATTTTTGTGTGTTCTTTATAAAGTTCTTTCAAGAATTTAAATCTAGCATGGACACCTTTGGTGTTAGCTACCTCATTTGCGGCCTTAGCTGATTTTGCCCCAAAATATGTAACTTGCATCTCGTTGGTTTTCTCTCGACCGAGCCTATTGTGGTCCAAAAATTTTCCCTGATAGAAAGATGCTGAAGGCATGAGACGTCACCAGGGACGATGGTCATCTCGCCGATAGGAAGGTGGAAAGATGACGTCTATGAATGTCATCTCTCTGCAAATGTCGTATGTATGACATAGTTTATAGTTATGTACACAATAACACATAAATCGACAAGACCAGAATAACAGATAATATTCCTGAACCAGTCACATTGTTCCAAATCCAATATCTTTCTACCGTGGTTTACCGATTTTAAACATAGAGGCTCCTAATATATATATATATATATATATATATATATATATATATATATATATATATATATATATATATATATATATATATATATATATATATATATATATATATATATATATATATATATATATATATATATATATATATATATATATATATATATATATATATATATATATATACTCGCAATTTAATTAGTTTAAAACATATGTAACGGAAAAGTAAATAAATATACATTTATTTCTCATACATGCCTAGTAGTATGGTCTCCATAGAGATGAAGTAAGAAGGTTTCAAACGGACCTCCTAGGACACCTCTAAGCTACAAGGGCTTCAAGTATTTCATCATCTAAGAACACGTGGCCCCGTGAAGTAGAGGCTTAAGACATGAGACTACGAGAAGTAAAACCAGATGGTTGTGAACCATCAAACGAGTTATCATCGACTCGTGGCCTCGTGGTCCTGACCGCAGCCCTCTCACGTACAGACGTGATCTGGGACACATGACTGAGCCTAATTCTGTCAGGGTTATTTTGAGTCGTTGTACATGCATTAAAACCAGAAAGTAACATAAAAAAAATTCAACCAAGTACAAATCTATAGATACATCTCCGAAAATAAATCAGACATAATTCGAAGATGCATCTCCAACGGATAAAGTTGCAATTTTCAACCATGCAAAAACCTCATTGCTGCCATAACCAAACCAAATGGCAATGCATGTTCATATCAGCTACCTATTTCGATTTCACTACTATCTAATGTAGCTTAAACAACTTATGTTACCTAAAATATCATTCAAAATACACAAAAAAATGAAATGAAAAACTTACCAAATCAAAGTAGTTAATGAGAAGCTTGAATAGAGTGAAAGATTTCGCAGTAAATAAAATAGAATGGAGTGACTTGATCAAACTTCCTCAAATAAGATTTTAAAATGATTTGCATCAAAATAAACTCAAATTGTATTTTTTGAATAACTTTTCATAAATGAAAGGGTCTGACTCATATATACGAAATAAAAACACAGAGATATATTTCTATACAACTCCCTAAATTTTAAATTAAGAATTTTTATAAAATAAGTACATCTCAGGAATTAACCGCATATGCAAATAAAAATATATGTCCGGACTAAATTTTAAATGTCACATCTATTTACGTTTAGAGCACCCAGGGTGAAAAAGTATACCAACAAAAAATGTAGGACATTTCATTGGGAGAGGAGGAATCGGTTCTTAAGGACTGCAAAATCATTTCTCTATCACAAAGAAATGGTTGTGAAAAACAAAAATATGGTGATAATCTAAGATTTCATGTGTAATGATGATAAGTGTGCACCTTTGAATACTCAAGTGGATAAAACATAATTTGTGTTGTGGATAATGATGATTTAAGTAACTAAAACTTTTTAAATTGTAATGTATAATAACTAGTGGAGCAAGTGATAATGTCTATGATGATTTGGGTATAGCTGTTAGAAAGATACAATGAGGGGTCAAGCGTGCATGGTTATGTTAATTTAATGCTAAAGTTGATTAATACTAAAGTTGATAAATGCCTTCAGAGGTGGATTACAAAAGATCATTTAGTAACAAGAAGGTTTAAACTACAGGCATATTGTACCAGAGCTCCAAACCATACCATACTAACAGCTAAACTTAAGCAACTACAAACTGAAGAAAAATGATGAAACAATCTCTAAACAAACAGAACATCTGTTTCTTCAATTAGATTATAAAGTACAACAAACAGACAAAAGCTTTTAAACTCTCCTATGATGATCCTTTTGTAATCCCAACGATAATTCTAGTCTTCTTCTCTTTCGGGAGGCAGACCGCAAGGTAGGAGCATTTTCTGCACAAAAGGTAGAATTTGTCAAATATGAATATAAACATTCAACTCCTCCCACTAACAGAATATATCAACTCCGATTTGTCATTTCAAAACAGAATTGTATTTACCCTTTTGGTCCTCCAAAGATTAGGGTGACATTGCATTAATCCTCCAAATATTTATCACCAAATTAATTACTCAAATGTCGAGATGTCACCAATTTAATCCAAACATGGATTTTTATATTGTGAAAGAACTTATTTCATGAAAAATTCTTAAGGTAGTTAAAAATCAAGTTTTTATGCAAAATTGGAAAGGGGAAGTAAAATTATGCAATTGTAAGTAAGATTATACAAAACTCGTATGTGCATATAAATAGCATGAGTAAGAGAAAGAAAATCTTAAATCTACTTGAAATACTAATGTAAATTTAGATTCATAAGCATAAGGAAATCACTAATTAAGTCTCGCAAACTCACATAACTCACAACTTCATAAGTCACAAACAAAACAACTAAAATTAGTTTTAAAAAAAAAATCATGAACACCTAATTGTCAATCTCTTTAAGAGGTGTAATATCATGACCACCCTCATCCCCTATAAACTCCCAAATGCCCATTTGTTCCGTTCTTACATTTTCAAATATACCTCTATTTCCTTTGCCAGCTGGTAGCAATCTGGTGTTATATGAGTAAGAAATAGGAATATAACTCAATTACAAGGGTAGAACGCTAAAGAACGTTGAAGGTCAACAAACTTCCCAACCCAAGGCCCCAATTCTCTCTCAAATCGCTTGATGATATTCGTCTCAATGTCTCCTATTATCTATAAACCATGGTCTTCCTCTCTAACTATCTAAGCCTACTATTTCAAAATAACCGGCCGGTGTTTGGGTACTCACATCCTCCTCATCGCCTGTTTGCGGCAACGAATTGAACTACATAAAAATGCACTGCAATTGGTTTTAGCATCACACCAGACTTCAAACTCTCTGCTATTTTGCAATCGCCAGCTATAGCAGCACTACTTACAAGACAGGTATTGAGCATGTAATCAATATGAACAAGTCTGCCTATTACAAGTTGATGTGTATGGGAATCAATGAAATATATTTATTGCTAAATATCATGTCAAACATGCGATCTTAATCTAACCAGGTTATTTATATTACTAAGGAAAATTCTTCAGTTACAAAATTATCCTATGTATTCACAGATATCTTCAGCATCAATGTTTTGACATGAACTTTACTGCTCCCGTCAAAAAGTGTCAAAAACCTTGTATAAGCTTCAAGAGAGAAAATATTAACCATCTAGCCACTCCACATCATTATTCTATCTCCACAGAGTGAAATATCTAAACAGCACAAAAAGTTGACTTCTATGTTAGATCATATTGACGTGTATTATACCAGTACACCACTAAAGTGACTTGCTAATGACAATATGTGTTCTAAATTGACCAGGGTCGCGCACATCGATGATCAAACCCTTCCAATTGTGTTGAGTTTCCCTCCATACTAGCCTAATCTGACTCAATAATGCCTTTGCTTCCCTAACTCCCTCCGATCGTAACAACGTTGCAGTGAACACTTTTCCCCTAAACAATGGGGTGGAATGTGAATCTTTCAATACATTTTCCATTTTTGAACAATGTGCCATTGCGCATATACAATACACCACAGTGAACACCTTCGACAATGACACAGACACCTCACATGTATCGTCCAATACCTGAACATAGCAGCGCTCAATTTCAATCTTACAAAACCCCCAAAACCAGTTCTGACCTCTTTGCATCAATCTGCTACTACATATAGCTGTTTGACTTCTCGTCATCTGATCTACTCTCCTTACCACATAATTTATACATTTTCTCTCTATATGCCCAAACCACCTGAGTTTATTTTCCCAACACTCTCTCTAATATTGTCATTTCTAATATTTTCTACTAAAGTGCTACCCCAACACTCTATCTACTATTGTCATTTCTAATCTTGTTTAGTCTTACCACACATATAACTCAACATCTTCATCTCAGCAAAAATAATTGATTCTAAGGACTTCAATAGTTATCTTTCAATTCATCAATTTTACCAATGGAATCAATCAAGAAGGCAAATAAAAGGAAAAGTTACTAAGTTGAATAAATTACCTGCATATAACCGTAGCGTTGTCTACCAATAGATTCATTTTCAGCAATAGAAAAGTATGAAAGTAAAGGGTAATGCCCAATATATGATGCATAGCTATCACGCTGAATGTTCACTGCCCATTCACTGCACACATTTAAATAATTAAACAACAAAAAAGAACAAAAATGAATCTGAAACAACAAGAAAAAAATAAAAAAAGAGAAACCCTAAACCCTACAATCTGTTCATATCAGCATGGCCAGTTCCAACATATTTAGCTTGAAGATGCTCAAGTTGGGAATTGATGTTAAACCTATCGCTCGCCTACACGCACAAATTTGTTTGCATGAATCATGATTTCAAAAGAAATATATGAAATTGAAATAAAGAAGAAAGGAAATTGTAAAAGATTGTGAATATGAAGAGAAGGATTTGAGGAGATTTGAGATACCTGCATATTGCGTCTCGTTCAGAAACCTTACTTGGTCAGAAGAAAAAAGTTATAGTAATCAAAGCCGGGCAAAAGACTGGTGGGTGAGTAGAAGAAGATGGAATTGGGCTTTGAAATGGCCCAAATAGAAAGTATTGGAGAATTTTACCCGCACCCCCAATCCCATGTATTTCACTTACGATTTTTCCTTTTAAATAAAATACTCAAATTTTATATTTTTTATTTTAATATTTTATAAAGTTTACTTTAATGGACATACACAATCAATGTGCAAACTTTTACAAGACCGTCCAATAAAAAATTACCAATCAAAATTATTTTACAATGTCAGAATATCTATTATTTCTATTTTATATTGGTTTATTATAAAATCATAAATTTTGAAGGAAAATTAAGGTTTTATAATTGTTTTCAAAAAATCAAATACAAAATCATAAATTTTGAAGAAAAATATTATTTTATATTATATTGTTGAAAAAATTAATACGTACGAGGTATAGACTCTTTAGAAAATTTTAGTAGGACTTTTTTCTTTTACAGTTATTTATAAAAACACAACGTTGAATCTTTTTGAAGAAAACCAAGATCTATTATAGGATATGTTTTTTTTATAAACAACCATTTTTTTTAAAAAATTATATATCAAAATAATTACTATTTTAAAAAAATTATCAGATCTGAGGATTTTAGTAACATGTTGAAAAAATATAGTTGGGTCTAACTTAACCATACAAAAATGACTTGTAGATGAAAATTGTCTACACTTATATGTACACGTTCATGCTATATATTATATAATGAGATACTCTTAACACTTATGAGCTCCCACCGCCTGATTTGAGTAAGAGATTAACTCTTTGTATTGAAAGTCTTCTTGATATGGTGGTGGTCAGACAGCGTGTTCTGTTGAAGTACTTGTGACGTGGTACCGGTATTTGTCAACAACAATACAATATGTGGCTGAAAAAACTTATGGTTGAGTTGAGAAACAAGTATAAGTTCTGCAAGTTCCACATCAATTAGAAAATTAAAGGTTGAACACTTTATAAGTAATCAGATCTATACATGTAAGATTATACGTGGTCTGTAAGAGGGTGTGAATTTAGGGGTATTCAAAAATATGATTAACTGAATTTTATATTTGAGTTGAACCCATTGTACTTTAAAAAAACGTTAACCACTTAAATAGTTAATGAAGTGAATCATTTAATTAAAACAATTCAAATTCAATTAAAAACAGATTTATAACCAATTTTTTTTAATAAATTAGTTTAATTATATAAATTAATTAATTTTAATAAAAAGAATAACAAATTAATTGAGAGGAAAAAAAATATGAAAAAAAACTAATATCAATTTTGTTATGAAAATCGATTTTTTCGAAAATACAAAACATGCGTGTTTTTTTAGAAATATAAAAAAGTCAAGTTTTTTTAAAAATATGAAAAAGTCGAGTTTTTTTTAAAATATAAAAAACTCGAGTTTTTTTCGAAAATATAAAAGAGTCGAATTTTTTCGAAAATATAAAAAACTCGAGTTTTTTTCGAAAATATAAAAAGATAGAGTTTTTTCGAATATGAAAAAAATATATATTTTTTTAAAATATGAAAAAATTGAATTCTTTTTTAAAATACAATAAGCTCAATTTTTTTAAAAAAATATTAAAAATTAGAGTTTTTTCAAAAGTATGTTTATTTTCTCTACCCTCAACTTATATGTTTGTTTTCATTTATATTATATGCTATATATTTGTTGGTTAGTTTATAGATTATTATTGTTCATTATTAGTTGAAGAAACGTGTTGTTTAAGAATTTGTTGAATAAGAAGTTTTGTTGCACAGTTTAAACTTTGAATTGTTTAAACCAATTGGATTGTGACCTAGAGATCTTACCGACCCAATGTTTTGTTTAGTTTATAAAATATTGATCTGAATAAATAGATTATTTATCATATACTTATTGTAATGGTTCAAGCTAATATATATATATATATATATATATATATATATATATATATATATATATATATATATATATATATATATATATATATATATATATATATATATATATATATATATATATATATATATATATATATATATATATATATATTATACTAATTTTTAATCACTTAATTTTTATAGATAATTGATTGATAATAAGTAAGTTAGTTTTTGTAGATAATTGATGTTTTTATTTAAATTTAAAATCATCCATAAAGACTTTTTAAAACAAATCCAATTTGTAACCACTTAATTTTTTAAAAACAAATCAATGTTTTTAAAAAAATTGCTATTTAAACCAAATTTTTTTCTTCTTAAAACTGCTATTTAAACTATTTAAAAAAAAATTGAATTCAATTCTATTAAAAATATAAAAAATAAAAAAAACTGATTTTTTTAAACATATATAAAAACCAACTTTCAATTCGGTTAAAAAATAATTTAGTTCTTTTCAAAAATTAGTTAAAATAAATTAAATTGGTTTTAAACTATGAACTGGTTCAAAACTGAATTGTAACTGGTTTATTAACCATTTTTTATTAAGTGTTTTGTTAGAACTGTTATGAACCATTAATATGGTTCGGCTCACTTCAGTTCTTGAAACACGAACAATTTTATGTGAATTAGATTTATTGGACTTTTTTTGGAAAGTTTTACCCCATACCCCTACACTTATACTTATACCCCTACATTAAAAAATTTTGGACCAAAATATCCTCGTATAAAAATTTATTATTTTTTAATTTTTTTTATATTTTTTTATTTGTTTACCGGAAGACTTTTTGGAAGTCTTCCGGTTCACATTTTTTTAGTATGTTTACCGGAAGACTTTTTGGAAGTCTTCCGGTACATATTTTTTCGTTTGTTTACCGGAAGACTTCCAAAAAGTCTTCCGGTTCATGTTTTTTTTTTTATTTGTAATTAATATTTAAGATTTATTAATTTTATATAAAGACTAATTTAGTAAATTTTTGAATATTATACTTAAAATATAAAAATTCTATAAATAGAGAATCATTTTCAGAATATTTTCTATTTACTATAATTATTAGAATACTAGGATTAAAATCATTTATTTTAAATGATCATAATAGTAGAATTTTCTCAAATATCTTATTAATCTTAAACATTAATAAATAAATTAAATAGAAAATATAAGATATAAGTTTACATTATTCAATATATTTAATCAAATGAAAACATATGTGATAAATAAATAATGTATTTTAACTTAAAATGATCACAATAAGTTAACTTGCAAAATAATATAAGTAATAAATTAATAATGTATTTTATTTAAAATAATCACAATAATAAAATACACAAATAATGTGTTTTATTTATAGGACTGATATAGTTTTATTGATTATTTAATTTTGAATACTACTATGAATATAGTATTTAATCTATACTTTAGAACTCACATAATTATAAATATAAAAAATATTGTTTTATTACCCATATTTTTATTTAATTAAAAAAAATAAGAATATAAATTTATTATTTGTTTTTCATTTTTGTTTGATCTTTTTAATTATTTCACTTTATTTAATATTTTTAATAAAATAAATAATATATTTTATTTAAAGTAAGCACAGTATAGAATATGCAAAAAATTTATAAAAAAAAAAGATCAAACGAAAATATAGTAAATAGAAAATATTCTATTTATAGTAAATTGGTCCTAGTATTCTAATAATTATAGTAAATAGTAATTTGATCTTTTTTTTATTTATAAATTTTTTGCATATTCTATATTGTGCTTACTTTAAATAAAATATATTATTTATTTTATTAAAAATATTAAATAAAGTGAAATAATTAAAAAGATCAAACAAAAAATAAAAAACAAATAATAAATTTATATTCTTATTTTTTTTAATTAAATAAAAATATGGGTAATAAAACAATATTTTTTATATTTATAATTATGTGAGTTCTAAAGTATAGATTAAATACTATATTCATAGTAGTATTCAAAATTAAATAATCAATAAAACTATATCAATCCTATAAATAAAACGAAAATTACTATAATTACTATAATTATTAGAATACTAGGACCAATTTACTATAAATAGAATGTTTTCTATTTACTATATTTTCGTTTGATCTTTTTTTTATTTATAAATTTTTTGCATATTCTATACTGTGCTTACTTTAAATAAAATATATTATTTATTTTATTAAAAATATTAAATAAAGTGAAATAATTAAAAAGATCAAACAAAAATGAAAAACAAATAATAAATTTATATTCTTATTTTTTTTAATTAAATTAAAATATGGGTAATAAAACAATATTTTTTATATTTATAATTATGTGAGTTCTAAAGTATAGATTAAATACTATATTCATAGTAGTATTCAAAATTAAATAATCAATAAAACTATATCAGTCCTATAAATAAAACACATTATTTGCGTATTTTATTATTGTGATTATTTTAAATAAAATACATTATTAATTTATTACTTATATTATTTTGCAAGTTAACTTATTGTGATCATTTTAAGTTAAAATACATTATTTATTTATCACATATGTTTTCATTTGATTAAATATATTGAATAATGTAAACTTATATCTTATATTTAAATTTATTTTATTTATTAATATTTAAGATTAATAAGATATTTGAGAAAATTCTACTATTATGATCATTTAAAATAAATGATTTTAATCCTAGTATTCTAATAATTATAATAAATAGAAAATATTCTGAAAATGATTCTCTATTTATAGAATTATTTATAGAATTTTTATATTTTAAGTATAATATTCAAAAATTTACTAAATTGGTCTTTATATAAAATTAATAAATCTTAAATATTAATTACAAATTAAAAAAAAAACATGAACCGGAAGACTTCCAAAAAATCTTCCGGTAAACAGACGAAAAAAATATGTACCGGAAGACTTCCAAAAAGTCTTCCGGTAAACCTACTAAAAAAATGTGAACCGGAAGACTTCCAAAAAGTCTTCCGGTAAACAAATAAAAAAATATAAAAAAAATTAAAAAATAATAAATTTTTATACGAGGATATTTTGGTCCCAAATTTTTTAATGTAGGGGTATAGGTATAAGTGTAGGGGTATTGGGTAAAACTTCCCTTTTTTTGATATGAAAGTAAATATGTTAAAAATAAACACATAAAGGAAAGGACACAACTATATATTCTGTTTTCCCTTACAATCCGAGAGTATTACAATCCCCTTACTCCCTGTGAGAGATTTTTTCACTATGTCAGATTTTTGTACAAGTCTTCCACCAAGACCTATCCTACAATCTTCTAACATAAACAACACAAGTGAAAAAAGAAAATAATTCTTTCTTTTTCACACTCTTCTTTCCAACAATCATGAATAACAAAGTATAAATAAATTTGAATTTGTAAAAGAAATTATAGCTCTTGAATCAATTATGTATTAATTAATTTCTTGTTTGTATTGATCACAAATCAAACATATATACTTAAGTGCTCTGAATAATATGAATGAAATTTTAATGAATATGTATGAAAGTTCATTCAAAAAGCTTCATATTTGAAACATTAAAAACTTGTTTGGAATATGAGATGTGAAAGTTGTATATCAAATAATCTCTTTTGAAATATGAAAGTTTTGTGTCTAAAAAACTCTTTTTGAAAAACTGAAACCACAAGTATATATACATGCAATATACCCTTCTGAAAGAGTGTATATTCATGAAACATTGCAATGTTTGATGTATAAAAGTTGCAAAACGTTAGAATCAACTTTTTCTTGAAAAGCTGTGCAAAATTTGAAAATTTCAAATGTGTAACCGGTTACCAGAAATGGCGTAACCGATTACACCTGATACTTTTTCAAAAACTAAGGTAATTTTACGTTTATATAACCGGTGTAAATTGTTGCGGTTTTGTTGTTACGGCGGTTTCAAATGATGCAATTTATCAAAAAAAAATGTTTGAAATAATCTTCTGAAAAATCATTTATACTTTTACGTAACCGGTTACACCTGCTATGAAAGTGAAAATACTTAAAAATTAAATTTCTAACAAGTTCGATATGATGTTAAAATGAATGCATGCACATTGCTCTTCTCTTTATCTCTTTTACATTTTTTGCATAGTATTGCATGCAATTCGCTGTTTTCGTTTTTAAAATATCATGTGATTAGAATTTATCATGCTTATAGTGATCCATTGTATAAGTTTAGATTTGTTATATATTTAGTCCATTGGATATTATATCTTAGTATTATAATTATAAAAACTTTTAACTTTAGATTGAATTATCAATTGATCGGAATTCAATTTGAGCCACGTTTAAAAATTAGCTAATGGAAATTATTGTATTGTTTATTAGAACAACTTCATCAGTCCCGGTTGTAGTTATTTCAGATTATCTCTTGTAATTGCGATAGACATTGAGATATATTTTTTTCAAAATTTTTGTCATATTTTTGGTTCTGGTTTTTTTATTTGCCATTTTGTAAAACTCCAATTTTATATAAAAAAAAATGTTTTTAAAAATAATTTTAGAAGAATAGGCTATTATACCTCCTCCTTCTAGACAATTATCATATTATCCACCAACAATAACATGGAGCTTGATAATATTTCAGAGCTAAAAATGATAAAAAAATAATTGAATCATGAGTTTTAATATAAAAATTACATTTAAACTTAAAAGTTATAAATTTTAAGTTTAAATTTGAATAGTTTTAAAGTCAAAATAAATTTAAAGAGCACAATCAATTTCACCATTATGAATAAAATTTGTTTGCACCAAAATAGAACTAAATATAGCCATAATTGTTGATGTGTAATATGGTGAACATAAAAAAGCAAAGAACGTGAAGAATCACATGTGAACATACAAGCAAAATAACGTGGAAAACCGGCAAACAAGAAGGTCATGCTATTTGGGGTTGTAGCATTTCGAATGTTGTTTTGCATAGGTGATCACAATAAATAACATATTCGGTGGATTATTCACCAAAACAAAAAATATTCGGTGTACGTAGAGAATAAATGACAAGGTGTAGCATCAAATAATACCCTAATATTCTCAATATTTCAATATTGCCTCATAAAGTCATTGAGTTGTAGGCATGTGATGTGACCAAGGGACAATGAATTGAGATGGTGAGTATAGTTGAAGCATTAAAGAATCATGGGTGGATTTCACATTGAATAAAAATGCCAAGGTCCGGAAAGTCTAATTCATCCGGTCAAAATCGATATTACTTACTAAAATTCGAATTCTGATGATAATCACTCGTTTACAAACCAAAATAAAGATAACCCGTTTTTTTAAATAAATATTTAAATTAATCTATTTTTTTTACATATTTTCTAAATTAACTAACTTTCAAAAGGAAGCGTTACCTCCTAAGATTTCAAATTGTTAGGCACATGAAACTTCAAAGAGAAGAAATGAAATGAATTTTAACAAAGAAACTACTTTTACAAAAGAAACTACTTTAAAAAACTTATAATAACATTCTTTTGTAGTTGAACAACTCATTAAAGTGATTCGCTTTTGAAAGGGTGGTTAGTGGCTACGCATGATTGCTTGCTTATACAACGAAGCATAAAAAATAAATAGGAATATATTCGTATATAATATAATGTGGCCTTTATCACTTGTTTTCTATTTCTACTAGTGTGTAAAGAAGCTTCGGTTTTCACCTCAAGTCTTCATTATATCATTTTTTAGGTTTAAATATAAATAATTTTTATAATTTTTTATTTTATTTACTAATATGATACTTTTCTTTAAAAAATTAATAGTATATTGAACAGCCCATATTTATAAAAAAAATTTAGAAAAAATTGACAAAACGATCCAATTTTGAACCTAAAATTTCACATAAAATATCCTTATATTCAAATAATTAAATCATAAAACAAGAACATTTTTTGTTTATGTGAAGCAAATGCCTATGAATATTACTTTTGAAAATAGCTCTATTTTATTTTTCAATGATTTTTTTTATTATTTATGTGGAATGGAACACAACACCTGTCTATGAAGAATTCTTTTACTAGACAAAACAAAAGCCAAATTATGAAAGTGGGGTAATTCTTTATCTTTTGTGTTGTTTCAAACGTTAGACATTGGAAATGACACCACGCCTGTCCTTGTTGCCCAATTCTTTACACGGCTTAGGACTTGTTTGTTAAGGAATTTAATATTTTACTTTTGTCAAAGGTAAAGTTAAATAAATAGTAGTCTAGATGTGTACTTTGGCACTTTTTTAAAATTAGTTTTTTCCATTTTTTTTTAATTTTAATTCATCAATTTTGTTTATATAGTTAAGTAGGAAATTTTAATATATATATATAACAAGAATGCATATAAAAAAGATTTTGGGGAAATATATCATTTAAATTTAATTAGATTTTTTTTAAAGTGGGATAGATTAAGACTTTTTCTAAAATCTGAATTAATTTGAGAATTAATTTTAAAAATTAGATTATTTGGGTAAAAAAATTAAGTGTTTCTTATGTTTTAAAATAAAATAAAAAATTAAAATGAGTGTCACATATTTCATGATTCTATTTCAATGAAAAAACTTCTTAAAAAATGTTAAAAATCATTAGACCATACTAAATTTTTTAATAAAAAATTACAATAAGATTTATCAATTTGATAAAAACGTGATGTTTTTGAAAACTTCATTGTATTTTTGTGTAAAAGCTTTGAAAACGTTTACTTCTCAAAAAGGATGAATTATAAAATTATAGACTTAATTAGCATATTGTGAAGAATCAAAACTTGAAATAGTTTTAAAAATCTAAAATGATCAAAAGACCTATATTGCCATGTAAAATTTGTGAAATTGAGATATACCCAAATTGGAGGAGGATAAAGAGAATTCCATAGAAAAAGAGGCTCATTGAAGATTACCTAAATTGAAAACCTTTCGGTGAGTAAGGGCAAGCACACAATTTACCCAAATACGTAAGAAAAGTGGTAAGGCACAAATTCAAAGCACTCTTGAGAGGACGGTAGAAAAAGTGGCCAGGGTCACTCATTCAATTCTATTCTAATAAATAAACGTAAACCACACGATTCCTAATACTGCCAACTAAGGGTTTGTTTATGGATAGCGTCATCCATTAGTAAGTTAGAAATACCAACCATGGAATATTACTACTACCGCAGAAACGCCAATTAAATATTTCGCATCTGTGCAAAGTTAAACTTGTTATCGTATTAGTTCATTCTTTACTAAATCTACTTCAGCTATATTAATTTAATAAAAACCACTGCTGTTATTGAAAATATGGCAATTTCAAATGAAACCGCAACGTTCACTATAGGTTACTGAAATTTTATAATAGCTGTATTATAACGAGAGGATACTTTGAAATTAAGACGAAAACTGGTTTAGATGAAAATCGAAGTTCCAATAGGTAAATTTCGTTTCCACAATGAGCAAAATGATATTGATTAAGAAAAAACGAAGCATTCTCTCTATGGAATTCGTTCAGTAAGGGGATATCAATTTGCTACAAACTTATAATCGACATTCACAAATGAATCGAGAAAAATTATATGCAAAAAAAAAGTAAAACGAAACTAAATAAAACTAGATTAACAAGAACGAACTTAAATATAGAAGAAATCCATTATTATGTACCAGAAACAATGATAACAACCATAATACTCATCAAATCACAAAAAAAATAAGCAACAAGATCCAGAAATCAACATCCGTAATCTCTACACGCTGCGAGAAAAAAACGAGAGATAGAGAGTTTTATATACTACTAGTCTAATCAAGTCTCATCCTCTACTAAAAAAACCACACAAGTAAAGTAAATTCATCCGCAATAAAGTAAAATACGCTCAGATCCGGAGAGTAGATCCAAAAGCAAAAGCAGCAACAGCGGCAACAACACCTGCGACGATCGGTGGTGCAATAGCGGTTGCTGGAGAAGCAGGACTAGGAGCTGGAGCCTCGGCAGCGGCGGCGGAGGAAATGATGGAGACGAGTGTCGCCATTATTGCGAGAACGATCATTTTGGTGGAAGCCATTTGTGCTAGTAGTAGTTAGGTTTTGATTTTCTTCTTTAGGGTTTTGATTTGAAGGAATTGAAATGAAAAGTGTGATGAGAAAGGGAAGGTTTATATAGAAGGAGAGAGGGGAAGTTACGGGCAGGTTGGGTAGCTGCCCGAATTATAGACTGGCGATAGGTTAGATGCCAGCTGGATGAAGTTCTGTTGTGTCTCCTCAACAGATTCAGATATCACATGGCTCGGTTTTGCAATAATACAATCACGCGCGCCAAGTCGCGCGTACAGTTCTCTCTCACACATGAGCTGTTTATATATTTTGCGGTTCCACTACGAATATAAAATAAAGATATTTATTGAACAAATGATAACAAAAAGAATTCTGAAAAATTATCGAGGTATTAGTTAAGAATTTTAAGTAAAAAAAATATACTGTGTTTAGTTCATTAAATACATATAAAATATTATTTATAATATTTTTATTGTTGAGTATTTTTTAGCGCGTGCGGATTAAAAGGTTAAAAAAATTAAGCTTTAAGGAGAATGCAATATTGGTGCTAGCAGTAATCACGCCACGGCTTGACTAATTAAGCATTAATCAAGCTACTAATGGAAATTATGCGTTGGAGTGGGGACCACGGAATGGGAAGTTATAAAAGGACGAATACTGCGCTAACGCGTCACTAAGATATTTTACGTGTATTCCAGAACCTTCTCTTTTGGGATGGTTGGTAAATAATGAAGAAAGTGAGAAATTGAGAAACGTAATTCTCTTACCGCGTTTGTTAAAGATAAAAAAATATTTTTTCAATAATTTATAAGTTTAAATCACTTTCATCATTATTTAAGCGTTTTTAATTTTTTTAAATCTTACATTTTAAAACTAAGATTTTTTATTCTTCAATTTTAATACATTTTTTAGTTTTTTCATCTCTTACATTTGCAGATATAAAAGTGATGATTAAAAGAATTTTACTTTTTTAATGATGTGGTAGTAATGGTTATGATAATTTATTAATTAATATTGTTTTATTATAAATTAATAATTTTAATTATGTTAGTTTACTAATTAATAAATTTGGAAATTAATAATTTAAATTTTTGAAGAAAATTTATGGGTGTAAACCTATGTCTTTACAATATTTATTGACCTTATCTTTTATTTGACTAAGATATATATAAATATTCAAAGCATTTGTAACCAAAATAACGTGGGGGTATGGTTTCAATCAAAGATGGCTCCTCATCTCTTTTTTTCAAATTTGTATGCGTCAAAAACTAAAGGTGTGTTTTTCTTCTGTAAGGGCAAAAAAATTAAGAGACTTTAGTAGGTGTATAATACGTTTTAGTGGTCAGAAGTTATTTACGGCGGCAAGATGCTATGTACGATGGTGTTTTTAGATAGTTTAAGAGACTAGTTCAAGTAGGGTGAAAGACCCTATTGATGGTCAGCAAAGCTTACTCGCAAACGGACAATTATGTCAACTGTATGTGTTAAAACTGTAATGAGCGCGATGTCATTTGAATTATAGCATGAATTAGAGTCAGTCTTCCCCTCCTTGAGGGAGAGATATTTATAGAGGCCTTCCGGGTCTAGGGTTTCCTTGGAAATGGTCGTTGCTCACCCAATCAATTGTGGATCGTTGAATGTCTATTTTCAAGGGAGATGTGGGTCAGTAATGACCTTGACTTTCCCTATATTCAAGAAACATCTTATCACACGCTCCCATGACGGGGCAATAGGAAACTCTGTGGGGTGAGGTGATACCTCTATTTGAGCGAAATTCACTTGTCGCCTCCCTTTAGGCGGTATGAAGGCATCTCCTAAGGCGCGGTCCTTTATAATTATAACACTACATAGTTTCTCAAGCATTAGGCCTTTGGTAGAGTACAAAGTGCTTTTAGATCACGGATCGTGGAAGTACCATGATAGCCCATATTTTTTCTCTTAAGTTTTTGGCTCGCCTTATAAAACCTGAATCTTTAGTAATAGTACGATGTAACTCGTCATGGTTTCACCTAACAACATCTTAGTGGGCTTTGGGATTACATATCCTTGAGGCGTTATGGGGTGGCTGATGAGACGTTAAGTCCCTTAGGGCAGGACTTATATCGAGCACACAAGCAAGACTGGTGATCTAGTCTCTGATGCTGGATATGGATCACGCCTCTTACGCGTGATTTATTAGAAAAGATTCAGGTTTAGGGGACACTAAGTCCCTCAACGAAAGCTTAGCTAGCCTAAGTTCTCTAGGTATAATAATGTATAACTCGACTAATGAGACACTAAGTCCCTCAGACGAGGCACTTAACTTCTAAGGTGAGACTTTTATCAAACTCTCAAGTAAGATTGATGATCTATTCTCTAGGGCCAAATATGGGTCACACTTTTTAGGCGTGATTTATTAGAAATGATTCTGCTGAAGGACTAAGTCCCTCAGAAGAAACCTTAGTTAGCCTAAGTTCTTCATGCATAATAGTGTATAACCCGAGTGATGAGACACTAAGTCCCGCAGGCAATGCGTTTAACTTCTAAGGCGAGACTCCTATCAAGTCTTCAAGCAAGATTGGTGATTTAGTCTTCAAGAGCGGATATGGGTCGCGCTTGTAACACCCCGATTTAATTATTCGCTTATTTTATTATTTATTTAATTGAGTATTTTAATTAAAAAATCTCTCTAATTTCCTTCTACTCTTTTTGTTCTAAAAATTTCTTTCTCACAAAAACTGTCATATTGCAAAAAAGCTTAAAAGCCCTTGTTAGATTTGTGTTGTAATAGGTGTTGTGATTAATTTTCTTTATTTAAAAGTGTGATTATTTTGTGAAATTATTTTGTAAAATACTTAAAGGTTGCAAGGTAAACATAATAAAAAAAATTGGTAGCATGTTCTTGAGTTTGACTTGTGTAAAAGCTCTGTTTGAAGAATCTTTGGCTAAACTCGTGTAAAAGCTTTGTTTGTTGGTTATTAAGCTTAGCTAGTATAAACGTTTTATCTATTTGTTGTTGATGGTTCGTGGGCAAATCTTGTTTAAAGCTAAAATGTGATTTTAATGAAACTATCACGAGGACACTCTTGGGGACAGCAGTAGTCAAAATTGTTAGGTCAAATTCATATAAATTTCTAGTGTATTTTCTTTTATCATTTCTCTCTAAATTTGTTTATGTTATTTATGTTGCTCATCTTTCTTCATTTCCACTTTCTTTCTATATTCATGTTGCTTTATCTCTGTGTGTTTATCAAAACTAAAATAATTGTTTTAAAGAACAAACTTTTTATAAATTATGTTGAATTCAAACAACATAACTCATCATTCATCTTGTGTTTGGATTCATTTGGTCAATATATTTTGACTACATCATTTTCCCTGTTGTTCTTATGAACCATGAACTGTCACCTACCAAACTTACTTTCGATCTAGTTTCTTTGGTGGGGTTGATGATTGATTTGCTTAACCTCATTGATAATCCTCTTAATATTGTATTTTGGATCCACCTTGTTGATATCTCCAAGAAAATTTTGAAAGATTTCTCCAACCTGAACTATAAATATTAGAACATGTGCTGTTATGTTAATGATTATATTGGTTATTGAGAAAATTTACAAATTTCACATGTTTATCATTTGTTAACGAAGCTTCATAATGTATGGTGAAATAAGGTTTCCCTCACACATCACATCATACGTTATTCATCTGATGTACTTGAGCAATTGGTGGTTTTCCTAAGTTGAGTATTTTCATTCTTTTTCTACCTTAACTACCACTATTTCTTAAATTTGTCTATTACTATTTAGAGAGTCATTATTTAGCATTGGAACATATTCCATACATATCCATCTACTCATTAGTTGCAACAACGTTAATATCTTTTTCGTTTGAGTGGCTATTGTGGAACTTGAAAAACCATCAGCTATTGTATCAAGTATCTACTTTGTTTTAAGTTGTAGGACATTGTAAAAATATTTGCATCTAATATGTGTTATCAAATTTATGTTTTAGGAAAGAACCTAAGATCTTTTTGAGTCTTTTGTGAGCTTCACCCAATAACTATCATTCTCTTTTCCTGAAAGTGGATATGTTATGTCTGCTTCTAACAAAGATGGATGAAGGCGAATGTTGCTCTAGAAATTTGTATTTCATGGAAAGTCATGTGGTGACGCATTTCGTAGGTAAGGACTAAAACCACTATTTCTCGTCATCTCTTAGGGTGAAAGGTAATAGTATTAATCTTTTATCATTCCATTGTGATTGTACTATACAATTTGATGAAGTTACTCAGATATTTGTTAGGTTGAACTCAAACTTTTTTACGGTTATGGGTTGATTAAAAATCCAGCAGAGTCACAGCATATAAATTATGTCGAATGTGCAGAACGAGCAGATACGATTTCAACACAGCGAAAATAAAAACAACAGCACATACTTGAGCATATTGGCAACGCCAAATCAGAAACAAAACTAAAATCACATGAACTGAAACATGTACTAAACTAACAGCCAAAACAAAAATGATTCATGAATCCAAAAACAAAATTAATACAAAAATTACAACCGTTTCAGAACAAAAAGTTGGATACAAATTACATATTATTATCGAAATTCAAGCTCAGTAATACAACCGCATTACCTGCAGCAAAATCACAACCAACAACGGAGAGACAAACTGATGCAAACTCAAACCTTTGTTGAGCTAACGCTGCCGGTGAGAGAGAGAGTTTTAGGGAAGGAATAGAGTGACAAAAGTTGGTACAAAGAAGGAGAAAAAGGGACCGATGGTTACTGGTGGTTGAGAGCGACGAAGATGAGGATGGAGTTTGCCAAAAATAGATTTTGGGTGGTGGAATGTGAGGAAAAGAAGGGCAGAGCAGTCACCGTGTGCTTTTCACGAAGGAAGAAAAAGAAGAAGAATATCTTCTTCAGCCTCTATCTTCCCTCTCTTTGCGTTTTTTATTTTTTTCATTTGTTTTCTTATTTTGAAATATTTGTGACTGAGAGATGTTAAGGTAATGAGCGATTGTGATTTTTTCATTGGCCAGTAGAGTTAACTTTATATACTAGTTTTTAAGTCTTTTCCCTCTCAATTTGATGTTATGAAGACCTCTTACAATACCCAGAAAATTGAGTTGACTATTGATAAATTGATTGACAGTACGAGTCAAGAGGAATAAACTCTTAAAAGGATGAAATCTCACAATGTTTAGTTTACTGCTTTCACTTCTGGCACAAAGAATGTCAAGAAATATTTTTGTAAAGAAAAATATCATTTTGACGACAAGAAAAAAAGGAAGGATAACTCAGCATTTAGATCTTAAAAAGAAACATTTTAAGGGAGTCTTCTTTAAAGGTATACGTAAGGATTGCAAGATGTACGGCCACAAAATATATGTTTTTTTTTTATAAAAAGAAACTTGAGAAACAATAAAAACATCTATCTCTAGCTTATTTTGAATCTAATATAGTAGACGTTCCTTCTGATACTTGATGGTTAAACTCATGTACAACTATTCATATTGTTAATTCTTTGCAGGATTTCATAAGCCGCATTATCACGACTACCACTATTGTTGGCTGTTGTGGTGCCTCATCATGTCACCATGGTGAGAAAGATGACTGAGACGGAAGAAAGTGAAGTGAAAGTGTGTATTATATTAGTTTTACTGATACACCACAGTGGGTGTCAATTGTATTTGTGAACAATAAGGTGATTAATCCTTCTAGGTGAAAGAATGCAAGAAAGTTTTTGTATGTTGAAAATGTGAATAATTAATGTATTATCCAAACCCTAAGGGTTAAGGCATTTGTAGCCACGACCAATGGGCAATCTGAGAAGAGAACAATTTCATCCTGACTCCTTAGTTAGGACGTGGAAATGGGGAGACTTGTTCTTTTTCATTGATACGAAAAGTTATTTCTTTATTGAATATGTGGCTAAAACAACTCTTTCAAAGACACTGATTTGACACGCATTGATGCATTTAATACTTGATAGATACAGATTTGGACGGGGTGACCTATACTCTATATCAGGTGAATCGACTGATCCATAATCCGTTTGATTCGTCCTATTATCTTTTTACGAAGCTTTTGAGCTGAATGAATTATAGGTTGTTCTTTTTCGAAAATCAATCAAAACTATCTCAGAACATATATAATAATTAATAATTAAGTATACAAGATTCAAAATTATTGAATTATTATTATTATTTGACTGCAAAATATTATATATTATACGTTTCAAAAATTATTAAGACTATGAAACTGCGTATATACGTTTTTGATAAATAACAGTTTTCTTTTTTTCCTTTTACTAATCATCTTCGTCGCCTTTTTTTACTGTAAAAGGGTAACAACTTGATTTGAAGAATAAATAAAATTGATTTAACAGTTTATATATATTTAGCACTATGTACATATCTTTAACGAAGAATAAAGAAAAATCAACAGGATGAAATCACAATTAGCAACACAGTAATTATACATGTTACAAAATATAGCATACTATATCATAATATTAAAGGATTATAAAATATGTGTACCTTGCATTTTTTGATTCAATTGATTTGAAGAAGAAAAATGTGAGAAATTGTAGTGCCCTTGTTAATTGTTGATCTAAATAGGTTAAGTTTGACCAAATGAAATAGGCAAAATATATAACCACCGACGATAAAAACTTCTTCAAAGACAAACTGACTAACTATTAGAATTAATCGGATCTAGTGAGATAGTCAGACTATATAACCACGATGATAGAAACATCTCAACTGTACGCTAACCGACTATTAGGATTAACAGACCTAATGAGATAGTCAGACTATATAATACCAAAGGTAGAAACCTCTCTGCAGTCCTAAAATACTAGTACCCACCACAAACTATTCAACGATCCATCCAATAAAAATATTCATTTATTTTAATCATGTAGATTAATAAAATTTAAATAATTAATTTAAGTATATTAAGAAAGTGAAGAAAAGGTTAACAATAAAGATCCAAACAATCAATGAAACAAATGTCTTTCATCCAATATGTTCCTTTGTACATTCAAAAATGACTCAAAAGTATGAAAATGGATGTCATCACTAATATCATCATCTAGCACTCATCAATGAAGCAATCACCATGGCATGCATGCCATACAACAAAATTTATAGTCTTTCTAAAGAATTTTATTCTACATCTATATGTATCAGAAGTCTAAGACTTTTGAATTCACCATATCTAACAAAGGTTCCAAAGCACTAGGAGCAAATTTTCTAGCAAAAAGAACACAAATTGAAGAGTTTCTATTATTATATATGCAGTTTTGATTTCCAAGAACTCTATCGAAAAACTCCTTCGTAATATCCGATTTTCCAAATGTAGCCGGGTGGGCCCCGCCTCTCGACCAATCCACCCAAGTTATGCTCCGGTTCGCCAATGCTCTCCCTGCTTGAATTGTTAACATGGTTGGAAAATAGTGCTCGTCAACGTAACAAGCCGGTCTACAGTATTGTTCGAACTTGGGATAAAACGCGGTGTCTTCCACAATGCTGACTGCGAGCTTTCGGTTTACTTCGAACCATTGAGAGCCTTTACGCCATTTTGTAATGTCTACTAGAGGAGCCATGTTTGGGTTGTAGCGTCCTCTTCCGTATGGACCGGGATCGTCAAATGCGCCGACGAAGCTGAATTTGGATTTCAACAAGTAGTAGTAGACTGTATTGAATTTGTAGAGAGGGATGCATGATTCAGACAGTAGTACAAACCACTCGTTGGAGATGTCGAGTAGTGCATTGGCAACTAGTCTTCTTTCGGCGTCGCACATGCTCATTTTTCCCCACTCAGCAATCTGCACAAGGAAAACCAAAGTTCGTAATCGGATGACTGAATAATGAAATTTCTGCATAAGAAACTTTCACGTTCAGAAGAAAACTATTATTATAGGCTTTGATGTACTTTCACTATTTGGATGAAAATAAAGGTTCAAACAAAGGAATATATAACATTGAAAATTACACAAGACAAATAATTTTGAAAAACGACAAAGTGCGGTAAATAAAAAACAGTGGCGATAAGATATCAGACCCAGGTGAAATTGGTGGCTACAATGCGCAAAGCACTCTGCTGCACCAGTGCATGTAGGTGCCAACTTACGAGAATTTTCAGGCCATTTCGTCACCACCGCGTTACATGGTCGCTATGGCAATCACCTGCCAATATGAAACCATTCACCTTTCTCTAACTCGTGAAAGGCAAAATCAGAGGCCTTAATCTGAGGTTTTGGTTACCAAAAAGATATTTGATTACATGGTTTGAATCTAAGGTGATAACAGGTTGAGCGGATAAGGAGCAGCAAAATGCCCGGCGGAATGAAAACGACGATGGTTGAGCGCATCTATATCTTTGTAGCCCGTCTCTGCCAAACTCTATTAGAATTCTAATTCCTAAACTACAAGCATTAACTAAATCTAAATCCCTCAACTAACATAAATCAACGCATTCGAAGGCTTACCTAACATTCATCAACAATTGAATTTTATGATTACTTCTTAGCTCTAAGCTGCCAACAAGTCGGCTAGTTCTCCAAATTTTATATCATTTAAATTGAATATCATCAATCATCCTAGTAATGTAGACTGTTAGGTAAGGTTAAGCTATAGGAATGACGTGGCAGTATTCCGTTACAAAGGAGTTTGTGTTATAGTAGAGAGGGAGGAGGAAAAGTTGTTAGAGTTAGTTAAGAGAGATTTCTCTCTGGTTTAGGAGTTCATAGAACTCTGGCTACATTCTCTTTTTCTTTTTTCACCGATGTCGATCGTTGACATCACCAATTTTTAGTTCAATATTCAACATTCTGCTACCTAATTTTCGGATTTCTATCAAGGATAGTGTTGTCAAATAGAAGCTATAGCAGGCACTATAGTACTATAGCATAGTGGAATTTAAACAAATCGCTATTGTTCCGCAATACGCTATTCAATATAAAGTGTTGTTTAGTAGCAACTATAGCGATGCTATAACATTGTAGCATAGAGCAATTCGAACAAACCCTATATTTTGTGATCTGCAATTGACAACACGTTCTGTCGTTCCGCAATATCTTATAAAACTACATCCATACCATTTCTTAGAGGAAGTTTACCCTTATTGCCTGGGTAAACCTTTTCCCAAACTTTTATCATGTCCTTAAGCTATATCTCTGCATAAGATTTACACAGACCGTGATGAAAAGGGACAATTCTGAACATACAACTACTAACTAGGTACACGGAATTAGGTCGCATGTCAACATGTTACTATGCTTCCACACATGAGCACACAGCCCAAATGCATGTTTATTTTCTCAGTAAAATTCAGAATTCTTCAAATCCTATTGCTTTTGAGAAACGGCCTGTTACCACGAAAACGGACGCAACAAACCGGTATCAATATCACAACATCTGTACCAACCGATACAGTGAAAGCCTTTCATAACCGCGACCGTTATTTAAAACCTTGCCTAGTTCTAGTAACCCAATGCACCAACAAAGTAACAAGGAGAAAAAAAAAACATTGCAATCAGAACAGAAATTGGAGAGTAAGATACAACCATAATAAAAATCGGCATATCAGGCACAATCAATAACCCAAAAATTCACATCAGAACCTTAAACAAGCATAAAATAAGCCAAATAAAAGGACACAACATGTGAATATCAATCAAATTCCTAATGTAAACAACTAAACTAGCACAAATTAAGCACTTTTAGCATAAGCTTCAGATCAAGTAAAGCATCTTCTACCAATGAAGTTTCACAAAATAACAAATAAAATATTATTACAAGATCAAAATCTACATACCTGGCTAGGGATTTGCCTCTTATAAAAAGCAGATGAAGGAGGAAAATGAGCTTGATAAGAAGGAAATGGATGAATATAAACTGTATACAGACTCTGATGCCCTTTGAGAAACCTCTCCCAAAGAGGTGCAAGAGGCAATGGCCCTTTAGTAAGAAACATAAAAGCAATCTTTGGAACTCTTCGAAAAGGGTAATTTTTAATCTTAGGAACCAAAGAAGCTCTCCAAAGAAGTTCACTATCACTCATATTATGGATCAGATTCGAAGGAGGTTTAATCCATTGTTCCAAACCACCATGTTCCTCAACACATGGCTGAAAAGTTGAACTCATTGTAGTAACCACACTCTTAATTCCAAAATGCTTAATACTATATATGCTTATCACAGAAAACACAACACATAGAGCAATGAAAACAACAAACAAACGCATTGATCCCAGTGATAACCCTCTTGATTTTCCTTCTTCAGATGCCACAACCCTCGATTGCATCTTGCTCAAAACACTCGAGAAAATTAAATTTTTCTATGGTAACCACCCTCTACTAAGGGATATGAAAGATCAAATCTTAATAAATGAAAGCTCTACAACAAACGCTATGGATCTAAATTGAAGTTGCCGAGTCAACTTTTGAATATGTGAGGTTGGTAAGAACAAGATTATGGAACATGGGTCGTAACAAAATGGAGACTTTTCTGAAGAATAGAAGATAAAGGGTGGTTTTTTTTTGGATCTTATCGCAAACTGAAAATACTATGGTATAGGAACAGTGGTGTAAGAAAAGTCAGAGGAAGAAGAAGAGAAACTGAATTGTCACATGTAATTTAATTTTTACATGTAGGAAAAAACATTGATTTTGAGACAATTGATGATGAATGAAATTTTGAGAAAACAATGTTGGTGCTTTGTTGTGCACACGGGCAGTGGCTGGTTGTTTCCTACCACTCTCGCACTCCACCTCGTATTGAGTGTTGGTGTAGCATAATAGTAAAACATAAATGTATTTCAATTTTTAATCTAATATTCATGTTTATAAAACAAATTATTTTTTAAATTCATTGAATAATGTAGGTGAATTATAACATGCAAAAAATACATTGATATTTTTAAAAATAAAAATACATTGATTTTTTAATAAATTTAAAAAATTTTAGATTTATTAAATAATTAATAATATATATTTAAATTGTAATATAAATCAGATAATATTAATTATTTAATAATTTTAAAAAATTACTTTTTTTTCTTATAAATAGAATCAACTGAAATAATATACTCTCTAATAACTATTATAAACAAATTTGATTTTTTTAGTACATTTAACAATTAATGTATATAGTCATATATGAATTAAATACATTAACTGTTAAATTTATAAGAAAAAAAGTCAAATGTATATATTTTTTTAATTATTGAAATTAAACATAATATTGTTAATATTATATATATATATATATATATATATATATATATATATATATATATATATATATATATATATATATATATATATATATATATATATATATATATATATATATATATATATATATATATATATATATATATATATATATATATATATATATATATATATATATATATATATATATATATATATATATATATATATATATATATATATATATATATATATATATATATATATATATATATATATATATATATATATATATATATGACTCAAGGAAGAAAGAATATATTAATTTAAAAAAATATTATAATGCTAGGTGATCCAAGTAGGATCCAACCTTCTAAAGAACTAAAATTACACCATAAAACTAATAAGGTGACGTTTAATCTTAATGTTTTGCCACCCTCTATATATTAAAACTGATATATTTAGATGTATTTAAAACTAATATTGTTTGAATATATTAAAACTGATTTTTTAATAATATATTTAGTTTATATATTGTTGAAGTACATTAATTATTTAATATATTTAAAAAGTAACTTTTTTATGAATAAAAACAAAAGGAGTAATTGGTAAGTAATAAAATATAATTGATGTTATCTTAAATTTAAATAGCAAAGTAATACTATCTCTAATCTTTAATATAATAATAAAAAGTTAATTTTTAAATTCATTAAATAAACCATGTATTTAGACTATATGTAATATACATATATTGATTTTTTAGTGAATGTAAAAAATAAAATTTTTCTTATATTAAAGATTAAAAGGATTTTTTAAATTATAAATTAAAATAATTTTTCTAAAAATGCAATTTGAAAATAAAATAGTGGAATAGATAAAATTCAAATGAATAAAATAATTAATAAGAATTGTTATGTCTTGACCAAAGGGCGTAAGAAAAAAATCAATTATGAGACCTTGTCTCAGGTATTTATTTAATGGAAAAGGAACAAGTGGAGCCTTGTCAAAGTTGCACACTAGATCCTAGTTGCTGAAGCATCATTCACTATTATATCTGATCGAACGACTATTTTTATTACACGTCGAGTTTGGGGAAATCGTTTAAACTGTCGACCATATATAAGCTTTATCACATGTCGTTTATAGATAGGGTGATAATATGTCAAACCAACTACTAGGGACATACGACCTAGCCTACACAGGTTAAGATCAGAGCAGTCTTTTATTTCAATAGAAAAGGTCTAGACTTTTTATAAACACATTTAGTTAAATAGGATATGCCACATGTCATAAAAAAATCATTACTTTTGGCACCTTTAATGGTACTGACGCATCATTGTGAAAAACCAAAAATGTCTCTATAATTCGGAGATGCATTTTGGAACGCACCTCATCCACACCCCATTCGCTCGTAAGTGAGATCACACCCTAATTTAGCCATAAATTATAACGGAGATGCATCTCTGTAACTAATATGGAAATGTGCCTTCACATAAGGTTTAAGTAAAATACACACTAGATGTAACGCCTCCGAATACTTTCAGGATTACCGACTGACCTCACAAACCAACATGAATCTTTTCAGCATGTTTTGTCCTCACTCGTACACTTTATGAGAAACTTCCCAGAAAGTCACTGATCCAAATGCTACTCCAAGTCAAGCATATTTAACCAAGACAATCTTATTTGTTAGGCTATTGAAAAGAAGATGCATCTTATTGGTATAGGCAGTACCAAACAATCTTTATAAGCATTGCTCTTGGTTCGCATTACACATATTGCTTTTCGATAGTAGGTTCGGTTAGACGATTCGATCTGGGTCGTTTTTCTGATGTGCAATATTTTTGAAAACATATTTTTGCCAAAAGTTTTTGGTTGTAAAATTTGTGATCTATTCACCCCCCCTCTAAATCGAAGTCTATCGTCTAACATAAGTTTTTTTTAACTTACTCCAAATCATAGCCTTTGAATTGAATCTAATTTAATGGTTAGATTGCCTTTTACTTAATTAACCATTAGATTATATAATCTAATTTAAAGCCATTAGATTATATATATATATATATATATATATATATATATATATATATATATATATATATATACACACATATATAATACAAAAAAGTTATTGTTGGGGTTCGAACCCATGACCATTTAAACTAACCCCTCGGTTATTTATAATCTGAGGGGTAAAATTCTCACTTTTCATGTCACCTTCTTTACCTTGGCATTGTAACCGGTGTGATATCCATTTCGCATCTGACGTGACATGTATTATTTGTAGTAATGATTGTGATGCTTTAAATGCCCATAACCGCTCAGACTCGTCGTCGGACCCGAAATCATCATCGCCGCCAGCTGGACACTGTTGATCGCCACCGTTGAGTTATTTATCGATCAATGCCAATAAGATTTTGTCTAAACCTTATTTGGATAAACATATTATAGAAGTAAACATAGCATAAACCTTGGCGCCGATGAGAGCGTAAGGACCCCTCACCATCCCGGCTACATATTATCCTCCATCAGTAAAGAAATTCCTCCCTTTCATTTACTTTAGAATTGCAGAACCTTCAAACTTTTGGTTATGCCTTCTCCTTCCTAACTTTCCCCCTTCCTCTCTCTTGGTTTCCCCTTCTCTCCATAAGTTCTAATTTCACGTATTGTAACCTAAGCTCCACCAAATTTCACTATTTATTTTACCTTAATATTTTTTTTGGTTTTTCACGACTGGTATCCGGCCCATATGACCGGCTAATTTGGTTCAGAAATCAGTTCTGGCATCAAGTGATTTCACTCCCCTCTGGTATGAGGTGGAGTGGTGAGAATTTAATCCTACTTTCCCAAATTCTCATCAGTCTACCTCATACTCCTGATATCTCTAGTTTCCATCTAAACTCTTGAAATTCTTATTTTCTTATTATTTTAATTAAATAAAAATTCAATTAAGAAATTATTAAATAAAAATCCTCCAAATTTCTATTTTTTCAAATTATTACACTATAGTTAAAATAATCTAATTATATCTAATAATCTAATAAATCTCATTTTATGTTTCCGCTCTCAAAATCTATAATCCTAATAATTATTAAATTACCAAAATGACCCTAAGCACCATACAACACAAATAATTCAAATATATCAAATAACACACAAATAAATACATCAATAATTAAATAAAATATTTAATTAAAAACCGAGGTTTACAAAATTCTTTGGAAAGGATCTTTTATGAATATTCTAAGATGAAATTCTTTGAAAAAGATCTCCTTTGAATATTCAAAGATGAAAGTCTATGGAAAGGATTTCTGATGAGTATTCTAAGATAAAAGTCTATGGAAAAGATCCCCGATGAATATTCTAAGACGAAAGTCTACGGAAAGAATCTTCTATGAATATTTTAAGATGAAAGTCTTTGGAAAGGATCTCCGATGAATATTCTAACATGAAAGTCTTTGGAAAGGATCTCCTATGAATATTTTAAGATGAAAGTCTTTAGGAAGTGTTTGGAAATGATCTCTGATGAATATTCTAAGGTGAACGTCCATGGAAATGATCTTCTATGATTATTCTAAGATGAAAGTCTATGAAAATGATATCGTATGAATATTCTAAGATGAAAGTACATCGAAAGGACTTTCTATGAATATTCTAAGATGAAAGTTGATGTAAAGGATCTCATATGAATACTCTAAGATGAAAGTCTATGAAAAGTATTTGGAAAGGATCTTCGATGAGTATTATTAAATGAAATTCCATGGAAAAGATCTTTTATGAATATTCTAAGATGAAAGTCTATGGAAAGAATTTCCAATGAATATCCTAAGATGAAAGTCTATAGAAAGGATCTCATATGAATATTCTAAGATGAAATTCTATGGAAAGAATCTTCGATGAATATTTTAAGATGAAAGTCCATGTAAAGGATCTCCGATGAGTATTCTAAGATAAATGTCAATGGAAAGGATCTCTGATGAATATTATAAGATGAAAGTATTTGGAAAGGATCTCCTATTAATATTATTTAATGAAACTATTGGAAAGGATCTCCGATGAATATTCTAAGATGAAAGTACATGGAAACGAT